GCCATCCCCCCCATGATTTTTAAAACCATATTTTAAAACAAAAATGGTTTTTCTTTTGTTTGTTTTTCAGATGGGTCTCCCTATAGCCCTAACTAACCTGAAACTAGCTATGTAGACCAGGATGGACTCGAAGTCACAGAGATCTGCCTGCCTCTGCCACCAGAGTGCTGGGACTAAAGGTGTGAGCCACCATACCTAAATGTTTATCTTGGGACAGAGTTTTGCTATGTAGACCAGGCTGGCCTTAACTCGCAGCAATGTTCCCCTCTATCTCCTGAGTTGGGATTACATGTGCTCACCACCATGCCCAGCTCAAAAATGACAAAATTTAAAATTTGAAAAATGACTTCCTAATTAGCAATTTCTAATTAGTAATTAGAAAACCACTGGATTGCATAATTACATAAAAATTTAACCTTAAAGGATACATTCCTTAATAAAGTTTCTTGGTATGGCTAATTTGCTATGGATTTTATATTACTAGTTATCTGTTTTCAGAGAAAAGTGTTTTCTTATTATATTTATCATTTACTCAGAATGAAGAGTACTGTAAGATCTCACAGTTACATCATGTCTGCAGTTTCAGCTACTTGGGAGGCTGAGGTAGGATGATTACAAGATATATTGTTTTGAAAAGTTAGGATAATTTTTTTTCTTTCTTTTTTTTTCTTTTTGAGACAGGGTAGCAGGGTAGTAACCCTAGCCAGACTAGAACTCACTATATAGACCAGGCTGGTCTCGAACTCACAGAAGTCTGCCTGCCTCTACCTCCCAAGTATTGAGATTAAAGGTGTGCGCCACCACACCTGGCTATGGTAGGGCAATTTTCACTAGTGATAACTTTCACAAATATGCACAATTTTTTTCCTTTTAAAGTTTGACCCACTTGTAGAAGGTCTAACTTTTTTTTTTTTAACAACAAGTAAAATGCTTTATTTACAGTACATTCCTCTTGCGGATATTTCTTTAAAGAACATTTAAGTCTTACAGAAAAGTATTCTGGATTCACTTCCTGCAAAATTTTTCTTCTTACCAGCAACAAAACTAAAAGTTTCTTTCTCTTCATGACTTTTCCTCACAAAAAAAAAAAAAGGAAAAATTCCATGCACACCTTTAATCCCAGCACTCGGGAGGGAGGGGCCGAAGGATCTGAGTGACTGGCCAGCCTGGGCTATACCGAGACCCTGTCTCCATGATGCTGTAGAGCTGGGTTTCACCCGCAAGCCTGCGTCCGCAACAACAAAACTGACACTGACCAGCAGTTACCAGACTGAAATGGAGACTTCGTCATCACACACGACAGTTGACAAAGACCCCATCTGACAGACAGCTGCCATCTACTTACTGTGGACACCATGGCTTAATTTCTGAATTATGGAAACAAAGAGAAGCAATGCAGCCAAGAGCCCTGCAGCTTGCTCTTCAATGACCTCTACTGACACAGCTCATCAATCCTCCATCACACCTGGCTCTCCACACCCTTCAAATCTGAAAACACCTAGAACCACTGGGAACACCAGCGCTCAGGAAAGTGGTTCACAACACCACATGGAAGCTGCACAGGAGGCCCCAGTGGTCATTAGGGAATTGCCCACAGTCCAGCTTTTCCATCCCGACAAGATCTAAACTTTGGGGAAGAAGACGGCCTTCTTCTGCTCTGAAAAAGATCTTATCAAAATGATGCCTACGAGCAGCAGGGATTCGGAGGTTTCGGAGGTTACTGTTGGTGCATGTGTCCCACATGTACTGACAAGGCTTCAGTCTGCCCAAGAACTCCCAGGCGTCAAAAACATTGCTGGTAGGCCACCACTACTAGTCACCTATTGATCCCTTAAGTTTCTGTCTCCTATAAATATGACAGTAGTCGACTCAGGGGCCTCTTACATTTTCTGAAAAACCATTTTCAACTGATCCATCCATTCCGCAGCATGTTCTCTGGTGCTCTCCAAATGGGACATCATAGGTAGAATTCACTTCCAGTCAAACTTACATCACACACAAAAGGTTTCTCATCATTTTGGTATTTGGAAAAGGAACAATCTCTTGACTTATAAATTTCACTCTCTGTTTCTTCAACAGTATAGCTGTGAAATAGCCTTCTTTGTTACCTGTAATAAATGATCCTGTAACTGCTTGCTCTCTTCTTTAGGTAGGCACAGTATGAGGGAGTAACTTCCTGTAGAAATACCAAATCTGGACTAAACCAAGCTAAGGAGGAACACACCTCTCAAGCTCTCTGTGGTAGACTGTTTCCATCTAATCCATCAATATTCCAGGTAATGAAGGAGACAATGGTGTTCTCCACTAGATTAGTTCCTAACGGGCAGGTTTCAGATTGGTGGTATCAGATTCATCCTCCTCATTGGTCAACATAGGCCTCAGACTTGAAGAAGGGGGTGGGGGGGGGCGGTGGTAGGCGCTGAGTGCTTTCTGCATCTCCCAGCGTTCTCGCGCAGGAAGGTTAGCGCTATGGTGGTGTCGCACTTGGCCACCGCAGCTCCAAGTCCTCCTCCTCCAGCGGGTCCCACTCCTCTGGCCGCTCCTCTCTTCCGCTGCCGCCTCAGGCTGGCTCCCGGACTCCACACTAACGCCCGCCCGCTAGACGCCACCTCCTCACACCGCACAGGCCATGCTTCCTGACAGACTGGCAGCAGATGCGGTTCTGCACCGAAGGTCTAACTTTTTAAAAAAAGGTAACGGATACCCTTTTGGTTTTCTTATTTATTCGGTCTCCCCAATTCTTTGACAAGAGATGGATCTCTTGAAAATCTGTCACAAGTAGCTGGTATACAGCAGATGGATAAGGAATGGCTCACATGAATAACCACCCATAGGACTGGAGAGATGGCTCAGTGATTAAGAGTGCTTGCTGCTCTTACAGAGGAACTGAGTTCAGTTCCCAGCACCCACATGTGGCGGCTCACAATCACCTGTAACTCCTGGTCCAAAGCACCCAACATTCTTCTGGCCTCTGTGGGCAATGCACTAACATGCACAAACACACCTACATAATACATATAACAAATTTGACTTAATTTATAATCAAATTTAAAAAAAACATAGAAAGTAAAGAATAACCACTCATTTATTAAGAACTTCCTAAGAGGTTCTGTATGTCAGGTACTATATTAATAATAAGGATTCAAAGTGGATCAAGGTATGAATCTGGATATCAAAGCTCTTTGACAAGCAGGAGATACACCACTCACTATGCCCACTATGAAAGGGTACCATGACAGAGGTACCTCAGAGGAAGAGTTCTATAAAAGGCCAGAAAAAACTAGGTATGGAGATATGCCTGTAATCCCAGGTCTTGGAGGTAGAGCAGGAGGATCACGAGTTCAAGGTCAACCTCAGCTACACAGTGAGCTTGAAGCTAGCCTGAGCTACACAAGACTATGTCTCAAAAAAACCCAAACCACAACCCCCTAAAAGCCAGGAGAAGTGACTAATCAGCCTGTGGTCCAGAAAAGACTTCACAGAGGAAATCTCTCAAAGCATAGCTTTGTATGTTAAGGCAGAGACAGGACAAAGGGTTTTCAGACAGGAACTGTGGCACTGGGGAGGCAGAAATCACATTAAGCATAGTAGGTGCATTTTCACGTCATCTACCACGGTTCTTCTCCTGAGGAAAAACAAGGGTCCCTAGAACATGAGGAGGCCTCTCTTGAAGCTCTTAGCCAACCAACTTAACATACACAATCTCAGACCTTGAAAAATACAGTTCTTTGGATTTATCTTCCTTCCAGTCTATTCATCTCTAACCACCAGAACACAGTGCTTATCAAGATGTTCTACCTAGGTCTCTACTGGCTCTCAGTCCTGTTCATGGACCTTGAACAGCTCAGATACCCACTCAGTTCTGTATGGACTTCGGTGTTCAGCATATCCTCTGTGTTTCCCCTTAGTTTTCACCCTGTTCTGCCTGCTCAGAATGAAAAGGGAATTTTCTTCATGTTATATCCCAAACTCCATCTGGTCTACTCCAAGTTTACCTCACAGAGTCTTCTTCATGACTAATTGAACAATGATAAACTAAACTCTAACACATCTGTGGTGCCTTGTCTCTTCATCTGAAAAGTAATCCTCATCTCACAAGCTAGAGTCCTTCAAGACAGAAAGCATGTCCATACGCTGTACTCCGCAGCAGTAACTGACAATGTTTATGCTGCTGACTGGAAAGAAAGTGCAGCAAGTGTGTCACATGCTTCCAGGCAGTATCAGAGAGGGAGGGGTGCCAGAGACAGGTGGAGTGACAGAAACACCCACCATGAGGGCAGTCTACATTCCTAAGCAACAAAAACAATGCAAGAACCACACCACACCAAAAGCCCTTCAACATAGTTATATCTAGTAGATGGATAAATAAGGAATTTCTATCCATTTCCAAATGCACACAATTTGCAAAGGATATAATAAAATCATTAAGAGGGTAAAAGAAAATGAGCAAAGAGGCAGAAATGGCAGTAGACAGTCACTTCCTGAAATAGACATTCTGTTTATATTCTTCCCCTTTTGAAGCTTCAAACACCACCACACCCGCCCCCCCGCACACCCCCCCCACACACACACATACCACCCTCCCAAGTGTGGGGATTAAAGGCATGTGCAACCATGCCTGGGTTATTTATTTTTATTTTATGTGTATGAGTGTTTTGCCTGCATGTATGTAAGTGCACCATGCAGTGACCATGGAGGCCAGAAGAGGGCATGGGATCCCCTGGAACTGACGTTACTGACATTTGTTAGCCACCATGTGGGTAATGGGAACTGAACCTGGCTCCTCTGCAAGAGCAGCTCTTAACTGCTGAGCCATCTCTCCAGCCTCGACCATCCCATTTTAATGATTTTAAAAGTGTTTGTTTTTAAGAAGGGGATCTGGAGGTGGGCAGTAACTGATGCAGCATAAGCTAGTCTGCTACAGCTACACTGGGACTATTCTGTAGGAGAAAACACAGCCCTGACCCAAAGAACAAAGCAGCAGCTGGTGCTGGCCTCACCCATTGCCACTGGTATGTCTGTCCAGTTCAGGGCACATTTCTGTGTGCAGACGCCTTCCTCATTGAGCACCACGGTGAGGTCATCTTGACCCACAGCCACTTTTCCATCTGCCAGAGGTGCAACTAAGGGCTCCAGCTGTTTTCCTGTTGGAAAGAGCTCTTTGATGGACCCCTTTCCATCCACCTACAGGAAGACATGAAGTGAGTCACCCAGCATTCCCCAGTCAAAGGCATGAATACAGCCTGGAAAAATCCACATAACACCCCAAACTAGAGAAGCCAATAATGTTCCTTCTTTGACCTAAGTATTGCATTTCTTATGACAATCTTCATCACAGTGTAGAGCCAGTTCTCTAAACAGAGAAAAGCATTCAGCCTAGCAACTGGCAATGCTAAGTACTTTCATACAGAGCAGCTGGAGTTCTTGTTGCTGCTGGTAGGAACGCAAAGTATAGTACAGCCATTTTATCTGATGGCTTCTTTTTTTGATTTATTTTTATTTTGTGTGTATGACTGTTATGCCTGCATGTACGCACCCATGTCCTGCAGTGCCCATGGAAGACAGGAGAGGGCACTGGATCCCCTGGAACTGGAGTTACTGACAATTGTTCACTGCCATGTGAGTGCTGGAATTCAAACCTAGGTCCTCTGCAAGAGCAGACAGTTCTCTTAACCACTAAGGCATCTCTTCAGCCCCTAGCTTCTTTGTAAAAAAAATATTAATATTTGTTTATTTTTATTTTATGTGTATGAATGTTTTGCCTGCATGAATATAAGTGTGCCTGTGTATGTAATGCCCACAGGGGTTAGATAGGGGTGTCAGAGGCCCTGGAACTAGAGTTAAAGATGGCTGTTAGTTGCCATGTGGGTGCTGGGAACCAAACCCCAGACTTCTACAAGAGTAGCCAATGCTTTTAACTACTGGGCCATCTCTCCAGCCCCATTTGCTAACTTCTTATAAAGCTAAACACAAACATACCATAGGAGCCAGCAATCCCATTCCTAGGCATGTGTCCAAGGGAAATAGAAATTTATGTTTATGCAAATATCTGAATGCAAATGTTTACAGCAACTTTATTGAAAATTGCTAAAAATGGGAAACAAGTTTATCCTTCATCTGATGAATGGCTAAACTAACTCTGGTACATCCACACCAGACTACTACTCAGCTGTAAAGAAATCAATTACTGATATCCACAACACAGATGAATTTCAACTGTACTACTAAGTAAAAGAGGTCAGATTCAAAAAGTTCCATTTGATATAATGGTTTATATGACAATCTATGAAAGAAAAAACATAAGAGATAAAGAACAGATCAATGGGTAGTGGAGGTCTGGGAGTCAGATGGGGGTTGTGACCACACAGGGGCAGTTTGAGGGAACGTGGGAAGTGACGGCTTTGTTCTGAATTTCTACATTGCTTCTTTTCCTCTATAATATGTCTGGATATTCACCACTTATGTTAACAGGAAAAAAAAAAAGCTACATAGCATGATATTCTTGAAAACAGGGTGGACGCTTATATACAAGATATATCTTAACTTTTTTTTCTTTTGTTTTTATTTTTTTGAGGTGCTGGAGCATCAAATGCAAGGCCTACACATGCCGGGTAAGCACTCTACAGGTGAGTTCCACCCCTGGCCCACGATAACTATTTCTGATTTGGGAAGAGAGGAGAGGGTCTAAATGAGTTACACTTCTTTATTTCCTTAGCTATATTTTCTATACTATATCTATGTAACTTTTACAAAATATTTTATTATTTTTATTTTTATGTGTATGAGTGTATTGCCTGCATGTATATGAGCGCACCCATGTCATGCAATGCCACGGAGGTCAGAAGAAGGCTCTGGAGTCCCCTGGAATTGGAGTTAAGGACGGTTCGTAGCCGCCATGTGGGTGCTGGGAATCGAACCCGGGTCCTCTGCAAGACCAGTCAGTGATCTTAACCGCTGAACCATCTCTCCAGCCTCTATATCTATGTAACTTTTGAAATTAAATAGTGAAAATGACTGAAAACAAATATATTCTAAGAAATTTGGGGAGGAAGGAGACAAAGTCTTAGTTAAAACTAAAATCTGTATGTAATTCCTGAGCAGTGGCACCTATGGATAGCAGAGCATAATAATGTGAATGGGCAAACACAGCAACCCTAATGACCTGTCCCAGTAATCAGAGACTGTAGACGCCATGTCAAACTGAGCACTCACTCTGCTTGGCTTAAACTATAAGGACACCTGATTTGTGAAAAACACTAAGAGCACAAAAAATAAACACATACACAAACACAGACCGTGTTATGCCAAAAGCTCTGTGTAAGGTGCTATCCCAACCTGCAGTTCAGAAGTGATGGTCATCTGCCAAGGTAAACTCATAATCATCTTCCCCAATGTAAACTGATGACAGTGGCAAAAACAGAAGGTTTTACCCTTATCAGGTAGTAGTCTCTCTTGAAGCCCACACAGATAGAATTTTCACACCATGCCATGGACTTGGGCACATCGGATACACTAAAGTCCCCCTGAATAAAGAGAATGTGAGTTCAATTGAAAAGCTGTTAAAAGGGGGTAAAAATTAGGACCTTTCCATGATTCCACACCCTCACTTGAGCACAATTCTCACCAAATATAAATAAAATATAAATCACCCAGGAACTGGATAAAGTACATCTGGAAAAGGTGAGAACCCACTGAAATGAACTGGATTGTAAGAGTATCCTAGAACAAAGGGCAAATAGGCACGAATGAACTTCAGTGCTGCACACAGGATCCATCTGCGTGGATCCAGCTATAGCTGGAGAGTCCCAGCTTCACTAGGCCCCGCCAGGAAGCCTTCGAGCTAGGAGCTTGCTAAGCACCAGTTCCCACCCAGCCTACTGGGAAGGTATGTGTGTACTTTACCTGCAGTTCATGGAACTCCCTGTCCTTCCAGAAATAAAGCTGCAGCTTCTTCTTGACTGCTACACACATCCGCAATACCTCATCGCCCGTTTTGGTGTGCTGAAGAGAGACACCCAAGACACCTCCGTAATAAGGACAATACAAGGACTCCATCATGACACGTCACAAGCAGCCTGATTCTCTACCATGATATGAACACAAATCTGCAAATCCCTTGCATCATTATTACCTATAAAGCTCTCAGAAATGACTGGTCAGGGAATACTTCATCACCACGGTCTTCCAGTAGAGACCCCAACTCCACACAGACATTCTCAACTGAGAGCAAATTCCTGGGTAGACCGTCCCCTTTAAACTGCTTCCTCCACCCAGCTAGAAACTTCTTTTTCCCCTAAATGTTTCTCGCCTGTGGCTATCGTAACCTGGGTCAGGCAGGGATTGGCATGAGCCAATGGCAGCAGACCCACTTTTATATCCTTAGAAGGAATCGGGAAAAGACAATTCGTCAGCATAAAACAATGCCGCCTCAAAGTGAACCAGCAAATACTAACAGTCATCCATGCTGAGTAGAGGGCTTAGGAAGAATCTGAAGAATGGAAGGATGATGAATTGGCAAAAATGAGGAGAGATGTCTTTTTTTTGAATAATGAAAACCTGCTCAAGACAGACACCACAGTAACCTGTTTAGAACATGCCAATTTAACAACATGAGCATGTTCGTGGTACTCGCAACGTCTGCTTTCCCACTAACTGTTTGTCTGACAACTGCTTGTACCCTTGGCTAGCTATCTCCTATCACACAGATGCCTGGCACTTTACCACACAGGGAATGGAAGTATTTCACCTTTGCACCAAATCTGATATAATCCAAAGTAAAACATTATCTCTAGAGGCTGCTAGGTTTGGATACCATTCTTCCCATGAAGTGATAGGAGCCTAGAGAATGCTAAACTCAAAACACAAAGCCAAAGTTCACCTCGCGCACACTCACCTGGAGGTCACAGGTGAACAGTGATGCTCCCTTAGCCTTTGAAACAGTAGTGATTTGTTGAAATGTCAACAGGTCATGGACATAAATGTTGTTTTCTGTTTGGGAGGAAGTAAAATGTCACTATGCTGATCTTTCATCTAGCCACCCTCGAGATAAAAAGTAACGAGACAACATCTAAAAGACCCCAAAGGCAGGTTCTGGCTAAAGATGTACCTCATTTTCACAAAGGATGAGCCACTCTGGACTGCTACCAGTACAAACACCTCAGAGGTCACCTGGTCTTCTGAGTTGGGTAATCTATTCCTTAAGAATTCAGGCTGACTTCAGTCAGAATTTTCACTGCTAAAGCTCTCTTAGACCCATCCTTCTCAAGTACAGACATATGTGATAGAGTGTTTATCCAGGAAATAACTTTCTAAGTTGTTTACACTAGGATGCTCCAATTAGAAAAGAGAAACCTGTGGATTTTGTACATACCAAAGGCAAGGGTCTATAGCAAAGTAATGTTGCAGTCTCTGTTAGGTCACTTAGTTCCCAGATCCCAGTGGATGCCTCAGAGAGTACCAAACATTATACTGTTATTCCTATCCACACACTTTCTGATAAAGGTGAATTTGGAATAGTAAGAGATTAAAAATAACTATAACAACAGAACTATTATAATACACTATAACAACACAAATCCATAACATGTACGTGTAGTATCTCTCAGAATGTCTTACTGAATTGTATTTCCTGCCCTTCTTTTAAACTCACCGTTGATCACAGATAATTGAAATTGCAGAAAGCAAAACTGGGCAGGGGAATTGTCCTAACTTCCAAACTGGCCTCTTAGCTAGTTTCTATCACAAAGATTTAGTGCTTAAGTGCCAACTACAGACCCGGGAAGTAAGTATGATTTTACTAAATCATTCTACTATTTAGGTGGGTTAAGTTTCTATTCTTCTGCTTGCCAAGAAAAGGCCTCTCTGACTGCCTTTCATGAAACTGTGGCTTTTCAAACAAGGTCTGGAACAATCTGGCCCCATCTGCCTGTCACTCTCCACCACATGCCCTAAGCCTGGCCACAGTGATCACATGCTGCCACATGATGGCTCCGTCAGTGAGGCTCTGTCTACTGCTCTCTTCCTGTAGAAAATCATTACTAGAAAACACAGTCCTTCCCTTTCCTCAGATCCCACAGCACCTCTTAGAAATCTCTACTGTCATCATTTGGATCACAATCACTTTCTGGATTTTGAACATCATAAAATGTCAAAGACAGGAACAATGACTCACTGAACTTAGTATTTCTAAGATATGGCTCATAAATGCATGATTATTGGATGAATTATTACTTGGTGACTATTGAATGGAAAATTCTTGAAGAAGAGAGTTCAAGTTCATGGGAGGTGCTGCCTTTACTATCCACATGCCTGCTGTATCTGGTGAGAACATACCAGCTCATTGTTAACTACTATCAAATAAACCAGGAAAGGGTTAATCAGGTCACAACTTTTAATTTTTGGGGGGGGCACATGAAATACAAATATAACCCCCTTTCTTACCTAACAAGCTGACTAGAATCTTAAACTGGGAAACCACATGGATCTGGAAAACAGCAAATCGTTAGACTCAATTAAACATTTCTGATAAGGTTTAACGTTCACTTAACAACAGTACTAAAAACAGATGAAAGGGCCTGTATCAGACATCTGACTCATTTTTGTATGTAACAAAATTTCTGCTGGTGAAAGAGGATCTCAGCACAGGGTACGTGGACAGAGACTATATGAAGAATAGAAAGAAAAGGGTTTAAATAACATCAAAGCTCTAATTTTGGCAGGGGCTACAGTTTGGATACAGTTAGAGTATGTCCCCTAAGGGCTAATGTGTTGGGAGCCTGGCCCCCATTGTGATCATATTAAGGGGTGAGGCCTGGTGGGAACTTTGTAGGTCACTGGGGACACAGAACTGGAAGGGAGTATGGCAGTTTTCATGGAACTCTTCAATTAGTTCTCAAGAGAGGATTGTTATAACAAGTCTTTTCCTCAATCAGTCTCTGGCTTCCTGTTTGACAATCTCTCCCCATTTCATGTGTCCTGCTATGAGGCCTTTGCTGCAGCTGAGATGACTCCAGCACCATGTCCCTGAACTCCCAGAACTGTGAGCTAAGCAAATTTCTTTTCTTAATAAAGTAGCCTGTTTCAGTTATTCCATTACAGTAATGAAAACCACACTAACACAGCAGTGTTTCATATAGGTCAAATATTCATGTAGCAATGATCATTGCTGCCTACCTGCTGAATCTTTTTGGAAAAGTTCTTATTGGACTTCTCTAGTGTCACTTCAAACCTGTTGCAACCTATGGAAAAGAAACAAACATGTCATTCCAAACAGAGAAAACAACAGCAATATCAAAACAAAATGCTGCATCATACTGCTCTCCCACAGAAATCTTTAAAAATTCTTAAACTGGGCCCAGTTGTACACACTTCTGATCCCAGGACTCAGGAGGCAGAGGCAGGCAGATCTCTGTAAGATCGAGGTCAGCCTGGTCTACATAGTGAGTTCCAGGCCAGCTGGGGCTGCAAGGAGACCTTGTCTCAAAAACACCAAAAATAAATAAATATTCCTAAAAGACTACAAGTCAGACATCTAAAAAGGGTGGCTTTACTGAGCATGCTAAGTGGCTTTCAACTCCAACTTTAGAGCAGAGAGTTTCTCATGCACCTTTGGCATCAGCAGAAAGCACCACACACAGTTTACCAGAGCAGCAAGGTACCTGGGAGTTGGAGGATCTGATCCTACAGAACACCTTGGCCAGTGTTTCAGAAGAGTGTAAAAGCAACAGTCAAACATGGGAGTTCAAACAACGAAGTCAGCCCAAAGTTCACTTCCATTGAGAAGAGCTGCCTCCCAGCAGCCCTCCATGACCCTATCATGAGGATAGAACAAATGGTACCTCTCCAGAGCTAGAGCAAGTGAAGAGGTCTACACTCACTTTCAGGTGAGGCTACATCTGCGGGCACTGTTGGCAAAAAGGGGAAGAAAGTCATACACCAATCTGAGTTTTCTTCAATATTTCTATCTCTTGTGAATTCAGTCAAAAGTTTTTCCCTATCTTCTTTTAGTTCATTGACTTGTGTTTTCTTTAAATTCATTGAATTCTTTGATGTTGTTTATGACTGCTCTTTTAAATTCTATGTCCTGGGTTATCTCTAGGGTGTTCTCATTATAGAACTCTTCTATAGGACTGGTGGAGTTTGGTGGGAACACACTGTTTTGGTTTTCCATATTTTTCCGTTATGATGTTGGCATGTAGACTTCTTTTGTTGTTTGTGATTCTGATATGAAACTCAAGCCTTCCTTTGTTGAGCTGAAGTCTGCTTCTGTTTGTTATTTGTGTACCCTGGTTGTTTTCTTACTGGGTTTGTAAAGCTGTCTGGTTGGTCTAGGTTTCATGTTCTCTCAGATTTTATATTGGAGGGAACAGATGCTCTTCAGTTTAGCTACTCAGGGCTCCCAGAAAGGCCCAAGTAAAGCTCCAGTCAGGTACACTCACTCAGGCTTCCTTCTAATGTCTGGACCTCTACTAGTGGGCAGTCACAGCACAATTTGGGAAGTTCACTAAGGGGAGGCCTAATTTAGGGACTCTTAGGCAGTCTGCTAAGGTCTCAGCCCCAACTGTAGGGCAGAGAAGTCTAGTCCTGACAAAGTGGGAGGGGCGACACGTGGTCCCAGTGTAGGGGAGTTTGGGCATGGCTTGATTAGGGGAAGCTCACCACCACATGGAGGCCAGATCCATGCACTCTCAGGGGAGGTCTGCCAGCTCTTGGCCTCTTTCCAAAATTTTAAAAAACATTATTATAATGTAGAAGATGCGTGTATCTGGCATGTGCATTGAGGTCAAAGACAACTTTGTAGGGTAGGAGATGTGCATGTCATGGCACGTACACTGAGGTCAAAGACAACTTTGTGAAGACTGTTCTCTTCTTCTGTCTTCATGTAGGTTCTAAAGATTGAACTCAGCCATGTGGGTGCTGGGAACTGAACTCCAGTCCTCTTAACCGCCTAGACATCTCTCTAGGTCCCCTCATTGTTTTGGTTTTGTTTTTTTTTAACAAGGTCTTGTTGTATAGTCTGGACTGGCCTGGAACTCTCGATCCTCTTGCCTTAGCCTTCAGAGGTGCTAGGATTATAGGCGTGTGCCAGTTCCAAGTTCATATTTGAGGAACTTGACGGATTGAAGAGCTAGGGGAACAGATAAGAGACAGAGCATAGAAGCCACTCAGAGCTACTCTAAGCCCAGTGTGTGGTACCACCCTCTGTGTCACCTGTTTTCTTCATGGAGGGAACACTCAATGCTGACCTGGTTGCTCCTCACAGCTCTCTGTACCTGTGTCTCCCAAAGTCAGTAGACTCTTTGAGTCAGCCTCAGGGCTCATGTCACTAAGGGCAATCTTCCTCCTTTATGTGACCCTCAGCAAAAGGATAAATGGTGTCCTGAATTTCAGGGAGATTCTGGAACATGCTTTGGTGTTCTGTCATCACATTTCCTAAGAAAAACTTAACTCGGATGCTGCCTGCTTGATTTTTAAAGTTCTATATTTTTAAAGAGTATTATCATCATATTTAATAATTCTTTTACAAGCAAAATTCTCTTTGGCAGAGAGTCTCAAACCTTTTGTTCTTAGGACCCTTTAATAATTAATCTTAAAAATTACAGAAAACCCAAAGAATTTATGTGGTTATATCTATGAATGTTTACAATCAGAAATTAAAATATATACTTATTAACTCATACATATTTAACCCATTAACTCAAAATGACAGTAATGTATCCATCACGTGTTGGCATAAATATGGTAATAAAATGTTTTAAAAATTTATAAGCCCTTTTCTATATCTAGCTTAATAGAAAACATCTGGACTCTCAGACCTACTTCTGTATTTTTTTTTTTTTTCTTTTTTTGGTTAGTACTGGAAATGCTCCACAATTGAGCCACATCCCCCAGTAAGTAATCTGCTTCGACATGGTGTTTTGACTAAAGTATTTGACAAAAATCTGCCCTCACGTGTATATAGCTAGAAAGAAAGCAGTATTTGAATAGCTTCTTCAGCTAACTGTGGATCATTTATTCAAGATACATATTTTTTTATTTTATGCTCACGAGTCTTTGCCTGCATGTATGTTCTGTATAGCACATGTGTGTTTGGTAGTGCAGAGGTCCAATGAGGGCATCTGATCCCATGAAATTGGAGTTACAGGCGGTTGTGAGCCACAATGTGGGTGTTGGGAACTCTTATCTGGGTCCTCTGCTAGAGCAGCAACAGCTCTTACCACTAAGCCATCTCTCCAGCCCCTAACTATGGATCTTTATTGTTGACATTTATCAAAATGTGAGAAGGACAATTTCTTACAAGGGCATCAACCTCAAATATTAAGACTTTTCATTCTATGTTAATTAAAGCCCACATAATGCAGGACTAGAGAGATGACTCAGTGGTTAAGAGCACTGACTGCTCTTGCAGAGGAACCAGGTTTGATTCTCAGTACCCACATGGCAGCTAACCACCATCCATAATCCCAGTTCCAGGGGATCCAATGCCTTCTTTCGACCTCTGAGAGCACTGCACAACATGGGTGTACTGGCACACATGCAGGCAATACATTCATACACAAAAAATAGATTTAAAAATTAAATATAAAGCCCAAATAATGCATAACTTAGAAACTTCCTGTGCTAGCATGTGGAAAATACTGTCATGTGGAGTCACAAATTTCCCAAATGCCAAGAGTCACATTTCACTGTAGGATATTTAATGTCACACTAACTGTCATCCCCAATCTCACTAGAAGTCTTTAAGGACTGAAAAGGAAGAAAACTTATGGGGGTAGATACAGACTTGCCACAAGTTGAATTTTCTGCTGAAGGCTCTAACTTTATAATTTTTAGCAAACACCACCAGTTGTTTTCTTTGCAGTGATTTCATTAAAAAAAAATTTTTACTCAATACCTTATGTGGTCTGAAAAACAAGTCTTTCAAACCAAACTGATATTCCATGAAAAAAGTCGGCCAACTTACCTTATAACTCAACCTCACAAGAAGTATTTTCCCCAAGAAAGTCATCAGCCTGCATACCTGAAATTCACACTGTAGGCCAGGCAACCTTGAATTTATAACAATCCTCCTGCCTTAGCCTCCTAAGTGCTGGAATTAGACGAGCCATCACACCTGGCTTGAAAGATTACTTTTGTGTTTTGTTTTGTTCTATTTTGTGGGGCCAGTTTCCACACTGAATCCAGCTGCCCTTAAACTCATGGAAACCCTCTTGCCTCAGCTTCTCAGTGCTGGAATAACAGGTGTGAGCCACCATGCTGGACTGATTCATTTCTATACCACAGATGATCTTAACTAAAATGCTGAGAAGCAAGAATTATTTAATTTTCAATTCCTTTACCACTTAAATCTGGGCCCACAGAATAGAGTAAAACAACAACAACAACAACAAAACAATTGTTAAATGTTGAAGACAATTCAACTCAAATGTAAATTTTAAATTACTGACCAGGTAAATATCATAGAATGAAAATATTCTGGCTTTGAGATCTCAAATTTCTATTTTTTTTAAAAATGTGTATATGTGTATTGTCTGCATGTAGGTAAGTGTACCCATGTCATGCAATGCCCACGGAGGTCAGAAGAGGCTGTTGGATTCCCTGGGACTGGAGTTATGGACAGCTGTTAGCTGCCATGTGGATGCTGGGATTTGAACCCGGGTCTTCTGCAAGAACAACCAGTGTTCTTGACTGCTCAGCCATCTCCCCAGCCTGAAATCTTAAAATTTAAACCAAGGATAAGCAGATTGGGTCCTCTACTTGTAAAAGACTTATATTGGCACACAGTCATATTCATTCAATTTACATATCTCCTATGGCTGCTTTACACTCTTACGGCAGAGGTGACTCATGACAGACTTTTATGGCCCAAAGAACATAAATATTTACTATTTGGGATTTTTGAGGGAGTAGCTTGATGACCTGACTTAAAACAGAAAAGCTGATTAACTTAAATAAATTTTATTTATTTAAAATTTATATAAAATTTCATTTTATTCCCTGGTTTTCTTTTTTGTTTTGTTTTTTTTACTGTTCACTAAAACTGACCTATTTGTTTTACATTATTCATTTTATTTATTTATTTAATTTATTTTATATTTCATCTTATTTCATCTTATTTTATTTTCAGGGTCTCACTATGTATTTGAGCCAGGCTGACCTTGAACTCACAGATCTTCCTACCTCAGTCTCCCAAGTGCTGGGATTATAGTATAAGCAGTCATGCATGCCCAGAGTTTATTTTATTTTTCCTGCTGTGATACAGGGTCTTCCTATGCAGCCCAGGATGAGCTCAAGGTCCTCCTTCCCCAGCCCCCTGAGCAGGGGATTATGGATGTGAGTCCCCACGCCCAGTGGACCCTTTTGGTTCACTAATGCCTCAGAAAGATCCTGTTTTCTCCCAATGTTGTATGACCTATTTTTCCAGGTCCCCAAAAGAGGGACCATTCTATTTCCATTCTTTAAGTTACTAGGGAAATATACATTAGGTTGAAAGGTAGAAAATTGTTGTTTTTGTAGGCATACTATAGTTGAATAGTGACAATTTAGTTCAACCTCCTCTGGCAATAACTGAAATTTTCTATATATAGTAGCTACAGGGCATAATACACATGCCTCAGCTTTTTCTTTTTTCTTTGCATGTGTCTACACATGTGGGGGGTGCACATTCACATGTGTGCACATGTGTGTGGAGGCCAGAGGTGAACCTCCATGTTATTACTTGAATCATCTACTATTTATTTTTTTAACTATTTTTTGATTGACTTATTTTTATTTTATTTGTATAAGTATTTTTTGCCTGTGTGCATGTAAATGCACTGATGTTATGCAATGTCCATGGAGGCATTTAAAAGGGCACTGGATCCCCTAGAACTGCAGTTACAGATGGCTGTTAGCCACCATGTGGGTGCTGGGAACTGAACCCAGGTCTTCTGCAAGAGCAGACAATACTAGTAACTGCTGAGCCATCTCTCCAGCCACCCCTTACCCCCATTTTTTAGACAGCATCTCTCACTGGGACCTTGAGCTCACAATTCTGTGAGGCTGGCTGGTCAGCAAGCCCTAGGGACCCACAAGTCTCTACTTCCCCAGAGCTGGCATTAGAAGCAAGCACCACTACACACAGCCCTTTTATGTGGGTCCTGAGAATCAAATTTAGGTCCTTATGCTTCCAAGGCAAGTACTTTATCAGCTGAGCCCTCTCCCTAGATTCCTAGACATCAATTTTCCAGAAAGAAAAGTATAGACATAAAATTAGGAAAAGGGAGATGCTTTTTTCTCTAGTAAAAGTCTTTTTTTTTTCATTTTTTATGTGTATGAGTGTATTGCCTGCATGCATGTGAGTGCATCCATGTTGTGCAATGTTGCAGAGGTCAGAGAGGGCCTCGGATTCCCCTGGAACTGGAGTTAAGGACGGTTCATAGCTGCCATGTGGGTGCTGGGAACCAAACCTGGGTCCTCTGTAAGAGCAGCCAGTGCTCTTAACCGCCAAGCCATCTCTTGAGCATAAAAGATAGTCTTTAACTAAATAAATTTCAAATATTTTATTCTTTATCACTGTTAACAGTCAAGTGCAGTTAGAGCTTTGGGTTCAAAGTCCTTTCATGCCTATTGTTACTGTATTTGACCCCAACAACTTTGTAAAACAGTTTACAAGTGAAAGCTGGCATTGGAATGGACCCTCTCAGTCACAAGGCCAAGTAAAACTAGACACAGACCTAGATCCTCACAAGTTAACGAAATAACTCCTAGGTTTTTGTCTACCACCACAGAGCATTTACATAGAAAATCTTATTGACATCAGAAATATTTCTTCTAACTGGTAGTCACTGTTAAAAAATGAGGAAAGGGGCTGGAGAGATGGCTCAGCGGTTAAGAGCACTGACTGCTCTTAGGGAGGATCCGGGTTCAATTCCCAGCACCCACATGGCAGCTACGAACTGTCCTTAACTCCAGTTCCTGGGGAATCCGAAGCCCCTCACACACATGCAGGCAATACACTCATACACATAAAATAAAAATTAAAATATTTTTTTAAAAAAATGAAAAATGAGGAAAGAGTAGTATTCCACCCCCCATACCAGATGAGGGCAAGAAATAATCTGTTAAAGAAAACAAACTGCAGGAGAGTCTCATGTTTCTCCCCCATTTTCCCACAGTGCTCCCTCCGAATTCCTAGTCACTCTTTTATTAGCCTGGGAATTTCTAACTTCACAGCCATACACCATCCAACTATCAGACTTTCTTCTGGCATGCACTACAAGCCAGCTCTTTCTTGGCTCAAGGCAGGTGTCACTTACCAACATCCTTCCGAATCCTATAGAGAAGAAGATGTCCTTGCTTTGTTCCAACAAGAAGCCATTCCTCTAGAAAAGAGTCAAGAGAAGAGTTAATTAGTTTTCGTAAAAACCCTTCTTCTTAAGGTCGGGCATGGTGTTGTACACCTTTAATCCCAGCAGTTGGGAGAGGCAGGTGGATCTCTATGAGTTCAAGGCCAGCCTGGTCTACATAGTGAGCTCCAGGACACCTGGGGCTACAGGGAGACCCTGTCTCAAAAAGACCAAAAAAATAAATAAATGAAAAATAAAACCAAAACAAACCAAAACAAAAAAAACCCTTCTTCTTGGGGCTGTTCTTGCAGAAGACCCAGGTTTGAGTCCCAGCACCCACATAGCAGCTAACAACTGTCTGTAACTCCAGTTCCAGGGGATTCAACACCCTCTTCTGTCCTCTACAGACATTGCATGACATGGATGCAGTTACATACATACAGGCCTAACACTCATACACATAAAATAAAAATACTTTTTTTAAAAAAAAACTCTGCTTGTGTCTTTAAAGAGAAAAATCCTATTTAAACCTTCTGTGTTCTAGACTGACTTACACACAAAGCCTAGAGGTCAGTTTCAGTTTTAACATTGTGAAGATATTAAAAGAATCTTGGTAACTTTCAAAAAAAAAAAACTGCTTCTTTAGGCTAGAAAAATTAAGGAATGTTTATAATCAAGAAATATGTCTGAGGGCTGGGGTTGTGGCTCAGTAGTAGAATACTTGTCTAGTGTAAGATGTATAGGAGGAGGAGATGAGAGATGTTTGAGCATGAGTCAGTCAAAAACTACTTATTTTAGCTGGGCATGGTAGTTTAAGCCTTTAATCCCACCACTGGGTGTCAGAAGCTGGCAGATCTGAGTTCAAAGCCAGCCTGGTCTACACAGTCAATTCCAGGCTAGCCAGGGCTACACAGTGAGACCCTGTCTCAAAATAACATTTTATTTTGCCACATGTGAGAGCTCAAGCTTGAAATTCCAGTACTTGGAGGGGATGCAGAGGACAGGAGGGGTGAGGTGTGTTAACCAAAACTAAGAATGTGTGTGTGTGTGTGTGTGTGTGTGTGTGTGTGTGTGTGTGTGTGTGTACCTTATGGAAACATCCTACCTACTCCAAAAGCAATTAAAAAATAAAATATTTTTTTTAAAAGGAGTGCAAATATGGGTACCCTGTATGGGTGGATAATGTTTCCCCCAGAAGGCATGTATTATTAAATGAAAATCTCAGTACCAGCTGTGGGATACCTCCTTACAAGTTATTGATCAGAAAGGCTCTAAAGGCCTCAAAACAACATAGTTTATTGCCATTCTTCTCAGATGCCCACCATAACTAGACCTTATTGCTGAAGACAACACACTTTGTTTCTAGGATATAGCGAAATCAAGCTAAAACTGACCTGGAAATTTCCTCCTTGCTGGCTAGTTTTTGTAATGCCAGAAGGTGCTATGCAGGCTGCTGGGAGAGAAAGGTCATCAGTTATTATCCAGCAGTGAATCCTGCATGATATAATACTAATCTGCCAGGTAAGATGTGCCCAGTGGCATGAAGATTATGGGGGTAACCAAACACTTTCTGATTGGATATGAGGCTTGCTCCACAGGAGAAAATTCATGCCTGCTTCTGTAAACCTGGTCAACCTGGTTGGGAGGTTATAGGCTCTTGTGGGAGACAGACTTGAGCCTAGGGTGAAAGTCTTATTGACAGCCATACAGCAGGCCTGAGGCAAGGGCCCGACTGCTGGAGCCACAAGGAACGCCTTGTGACATTTGCTCCCATTGGCAGATCATGAGACTGATGCCTAGAGCTCACCACTCCCTAATCACCACCTTTGGACGCCAAAATTGCAACACTTAGGTATTCAGTCAGGGTCAAGTGGTTTCCAGGAATCCAGGCTCTGTAATCTGAAACCCAGTATGCTAATGAGGCATCCTACCCGCTATTCTGTGATAGGATGCTAATCCTGTTATGCTATGAGGTATCCTACTTGCTGTGATGTGACTGGACCACTACCCCTATATAAGCTTGTGCCTTCCTGCAATAAAAGAGATCTGTGTCACTGAACCTGGTCTCCTGCGTCTGAATGCGGCGATGCTGGCACAGACTCCTCACCAGCCCTGGGGTCCCGACCGGACGACTGATTGAAGGAACTAAGAGAGCAGGAGAGCGGCCATAGCCAGAGGAGAGCAGCCACAGCTGGTGACCACAGGCTCTAAGAGGGAACCTACCACTATTGTCTTGCTAAATAGATATGGTGTCAAACTGCCTTATAAATATTTGTTTAAACCCATAGATTAGTGCTGCCCTCAGCCTTGGCTAGAGAAGCTTCTTCTGTAGTGAGTAGCAGTTAATACAGAGACTCATAATTGGTCAAAATACTGAGAATAAGTGACTGGTCAATGTTCAGCCCTAAATGGACATCTATAAAACACACACACACACACACACACACACACACACACACACACACACACGCCCCACACTCCCCACCCAAGCTCTAGGGAACATCTCAGAAGAAGGGGTGGAAAGAATGTAAAAGCAGGAGGGTGGGGAGAGCATGAAATGCTGTCTTCTGGCCATGGCATGGCCGCTGCACTCATGAACTCACTGCAGTTATAGTTACTGAACAAGATCAAGCCAATAAGATCAGTTGGCATTCCAATGGCAGCACTAAGACTCAGTGAGGTTTAAAAAAAGGCAAGCGCATGAAGATGGGAAGGGGACATACTGAGAAGTGTCTTAAGAGGAGTGGGGGGGAGGACGGCTGGGGGTGGATATGACCAAGATACATTGTATGCATGTATGAAGTTGTTAATAAATAAAGAAATAAAGGAACAAGAAATTATGCTAACCAAAAAGATTTTTTTCATTTTTTAAATATTTTGTGGTGCTGGGGATTGAACCCAAGGCTTCATGCATGTGAGGCAAGTACTCCACCACTAAGCCACATCCCCTGCTATACTTATATTATTGAGATATATTTTAATTTTATTATTTATTTATTTATTTTCATCTTTTTGAGACAAGGTCTCCCTGTAGCCCTAGCTGACCTAGAGCTCAGTATATAGACCAGGTTGGCACTGACCTCACAGAGATCCACCTGCCTCTGCCTCCTGAGTGCTAGGATTAAAGGCATGCGCCACCATGCCCAGTTTACTTTTATTTTATTGAGATGTATTTTTGAAGCTGGGTATGGGTGCTATACACTGTAATTGCAGTCCCTTGGAAAGCTGAGGCAGGAAGACCAAGAGTTTAAAGCCAGCATGGCAATGTAGCAAGACCTCATCTCAAGCAACCAAGAAGATAAATATGTATACATGTACACACATACCTATTTTTTAATAAGAATATGATGAAAGGTTGTAAAAGTCATAAAATGCATGGTATAAACACAAAACTAGGTATCCAATGCCTGAAATAACTGCTAAGAGGCAGTGCTTGAAGGTTTAATCATTTTATTTTAGGAAAAGTAAGTGCCATAACGTAAGAACCTTAGAGAATTCATTATCTCAAAAGATGGTCTAGCAGGTAATAGTGTGTTGACAAGAATGTAAAGAAACACTACTGATGGGAGTGTAAACTGGTGTGGTAGATACAGAAAACACTGGTAGGTCCTGAAAAGGTAAAAAGGATAATCCTGTGGCCAAGAACATCCATTCCCGGATATAATCCCAAAAGAAGTGAAAACATTGGTCTGCACAAAAATGTAGAAAAATATTCAAAACAGCATTATTTTTAATAGCTAAAAGGCAGAAATAACCAAATGTTCACCACTTAAAGACTGAATAAACACATTGTGGTATATCATCTATGCAGTGAAATATTAGCTAGCCATTACAAGTGGTACTGCATGTTATATACTATGTGGATAAACCTGAAAAGACACTAAGAGAAAGAAGCCAGATACCCAAGGCTGCATGATTCCATCTATATGAAACATCTAGAACAGATGAATTCATACCAACAGAAAAATTAGTGGTTGCCAAGGGCTAGTGGGCTTAGGGGAAATGAAGCGTGAAGAACAGGCACAGATTCCTCTTTGGAGGGATGAAAATGTTCTAATGCTGATTCTGATAGTTGCACAAAAACCACTCTACACATGACTAAATTCCGTAGTATATGAGTTGCATTTCAATAACTCTAATACCTAAAAAAATAACAAAAAAAACACCCCAAAACAATGCCCTAAGTCAGTGGTTCCTAAAGTAGGGTATACAAGAATTATCTGAGATTAAAACATAGATTTCTGAACCCTGCCCTCAGTTTTTGATTCAACAAGTCTTGAAGTAGACCCAGGAATTCCCTTTTCTAATCAGTTTCCAGGGGACGCCAATGCTTTTGATTCAAGGACTACATTTTGGGAGGAATAACTAATTTGGCAGATCTAACATTACACCATGCAAGGAAGCTAAAAATGTAAATAATTTTTTCAGTTTTTTGATACTGCAACATATGCTCACCAATTCCTTCCATAATCTCTTTAGTGGCTGTTCATAAATTCTCCTGTTGTTTGCAAAATACTATGTTGCTTAAAAATGGGGACACAGTGTGGGAAATGTTTCCTCAGGAGATTCTGTGGCTATGCAAACATCACAGCATGTACTGCTATAAACTTAATGACACTGTCTAGTATATACAAGGTATATACTGTGGTACTTTACCAAAGTAGTTACTTAGCCCTGACTATGTGGGACAATGCTTCAAACCTTTTACTGTTTTCCAGACTATGCAAAGCACATGTTATTTTACTAATCCTTACAGGTATCCTTTGAAATAAGTTCTTTTTTTCCCTTTTGGGTTTTATAAGTTTGGTTTTTGAGATAGTGTTTCACTTTGTGGCTCAAATTGGCCTGGAACTAACCATGTAGTCCAGGTTGACCTTTGACTTGCAGCAATCCTCCTGCCTTAGCTTCCTGGGTGCTAGCATAACAAGTATGCACCATTATGCCTGGTTAGGAGATCCTTGTGTGTGTGTGTGTGTGTGTGTGTGTGTGTGTGTGTGTGTTCATTCATTCGTTAAAGCAGGGTCTCACTATACATA